TGTACAAACTGAGTAGAATGCAAACCAATGGATAGCAGGCCAAGCGATTTAAAAGTAAAGATCAACTTATGCCTCTGTTATAATTTCTAGAAGGCTTTCGTACATGCATATTTCTTATAACATCAAATGTTAATAACTGTACACTAATACTTTTATAAAATATTATGACCTAAACATTTTCATTTAATTTCTCTTAATTACGCTTGAAAATTAAATTTGCTAATGAAATATAAAAGTTGCCCTGTTATAAATGAAAAGCAGTAATAGAGTGGATGTCAGGTTCAGGCATTTCAAAAAAAAATTAGGCACTGGAATAAATGCAAAAAGTAAAAATTAGCTACCTCCAAAGTGATCTTATCATAAAATGGAAAAGAATTCCCACGCATGAATCCTAAAATCATAGTTAACTTTACAGTTCATCAATCTGATGTACCCTGCCCTCACATTTAACTTATTTGTAAATACTTTCACAAGGCTACCTAAACACTTACTAATTAGTTAAATATGCTAACATTAATTCCTGTTAAAATTAAAGAAATTAAAGGTCCACTTTTGTTTTTTCACAGTAGCTGATATATATTGAAAGTATTTGATGTTTCAGGAAAGGTGTTTATCTGGTTCTTAAAACATTTAAAACATGGCTCAAGGGACAATTTATAGCCCTTTTACCTTTAACTTTTTCACTATCTTGGATTTTGTTGAACACCTTCAGTTGTTTTTTCCTTCTTCTGAAACTCTTCCCTTACTCAAATAACTAAAGAATCTAAGATGTTATCAACACAAAGAGAAAAAATTTATATTTATTCCCTACACATTTGGAAACACATCAAAAAGAACGAGTATTCCAGGCAGTGTAAGTAAACTCATTCAGCAAAACTTCTTTTTTTCTTGGGTTTGTGCGTGTGTGTGTATATAAATGTGTGTGTAACAGGTAATTTTTTGTATATCTTAATTTTCCAAAGAACAGAATTCTAAATAAAAAATATTAAAACATTCCTAGAAGGAACCAATATTTTGATTACACAGCTCAAGGGGGAAATGATTATTGAAACAAAACTTAAAAGATGGCTATAGATACATGTTTCAGTTATTTGGCTTTTCAAATACCAAAGACAGGAGCATTATATTTCATTTAGCAAACAACAATTTAATCCTTAGAAAGGAAAATTTCCAGAATACCAACCAAAATGTGTATAACAACAATCAGGATTATGTTAAAAATGAAGGGAGAAAAACCCCACCTTTGTAGGATATTAAAATACAAAGAGTACCCTTAAAAATTTTAAACTATATTGATAAAAGCAAATTCACTAATTTATTTAGCTGTAAGATGTCTGTTTATTAAAATATTTTGGTTATAATAAACATACAGATATGGAATTTTTTCAGTACTAGCCCATATCTATAAATTATCTTCCACAACAGCTAAACTCCTTATAGAATTTCAAATAGCAGAATTAGGCATATAAATTTCAAGTAAGAATCTCAAAGTAGGAGGTTTCTCTAACTCTAACTGAAATAAAGATTTTGAGTATACAATATCCTTGGATTATTTCTGTAAATTGGTATAATTTAGTAGTAGCTTCAGAAAAAGTATGTTCAACAGACATTATATCTGAGATATTTAAAAAGCTCAATACAACCAATTCAAGTTAGATATTATGCTGTGCCCTATCTAAATAAGACTCTCTAAGGAATTAAAGATTTTATACTTTGTGCACTCTCAGTGCATTTTCTAATTCAGATAAGCAGTTAGTTGTATAAAACCCAAACACATAGAAACTTTTATACCACCCTTTGTGAGAGAGGAAAAAAATCACAACACCAGCACTTTTATTTAGGTTGACAATAAACTAATCTTAACTTGAAGTGTCCAAACAAACTGAATAACTCAATGGTCTACTGTAACTGGAAGAAATATTTTTCCTTCACTTTTACAGAAACTGAATTTATTTGATATTAGTATGTAGTCTGTCAAAGTGGCAACTATTCAAGATCTAAAAGTCTCATTTATTTTAAACACAGAGCCTAATTCTGACTACTTATAGGTAATGTAACTTTCTTCAGCCAAAATACAATAAAAATGTAAGAGAAATTTCAAAGGTTGTATAAATATTAATGGCATTCTGACACCCCTGGACAGATGATTATTTGGGGGAAGGGGAAGTTTCTCTTTCCCATTGATAGTTTAATCACTTTCCAATCAGTTTTGATTTAACAGTGGTTCATGGGAATAATTTTTAATGAGTTCTTAGAAAGGTGTAATTGCTTCCAAAATCAGAAACCACAAGATGATGTACTCAAACACTACACCGATGTAATGCTATTAGGGAGGTATTTACAGAAAGGTGCAGATAGGAGCTCAGTTGTGAACACATGTTAACATACAATGGGCTTCAAAACAATAATCTGTTTGCACAGTATGGAAAGTAAAAATATTCTGTATAAGATGTGTAAAAATCCAGCTCTAATTTTAATCTATTTCTATAACTAATAAAAAACAAAGGAAAATAGGCATTTATTGCAAAACTCCATATACCTATGGAAAACGGAGCACAAGTAAATTCTATTTGAGATGAACCTTAATCTCAAATAGAATTCAGCTAACATCTGACATATTTCAAATTTTGAAAATATTGGGAAAATGTCAACCATCAGAGTCAACAGTAGTATATGATCAGTAAACATTTCCTGTTAAATAACACAAATAAATTCAACTTAAAAGATGCAAACTGATAGGTCTCAGGATTTTAAAACCTTTTAATTTTCAAAGTAGCAGAGTTACAGCACATGTATAGGATGGGCTTTAAAAATGGGTATACGTAAACTTTTCCACGGTGTTGGTGTATGTGCTTTTTTTTCCCCTTAAAGAAATGCCTACTGCTTACAGTGTAAAAGAATCTCCACCACTCTGTCTGCAGTTTTCAACCAGAAGTCCTCAGTGTACCTTCAGCCAAACTGAATATTAGGTATTTTACAGCTTTTACAAAATGGCTGTAAAATCACATTATGGGCATACACAGATCTTTGATCTTGCTGCACAGAATTCATAACTGTTCAATAATGCTATACCATTACACCGTACACCTTAAACTATTTCCATTTTTCCACAAATCCTTCCAAAATCAGCTTCTAAAGCAAAGAAATGTAACATGAAAAGTTCCTGGGAGGCTTGTTACACAAAAGAACAGCTTGGATACAAACTAATCTACACAATATTCATCTTCTGTTGAGCCTGTTTATCCCTCCTTTCCCTCTATCCCTCCTAAAGGTGGGTGCACTTGAGTAATGGAAAGAGAAGGCTCTTCCACCACCACACCCTCCCAGCACCTCTGCCTTTGGTCTTCAGACAGTGATTCTGTGCAGGTGATGAAAATCATAAGAAAAGAGAAGCTGTCCCTTTAAAATGCCCTGCTCTGTCCCACATCCCACGTGGAACCAACATCAGCAGCACTTTCCCATTAACTTCAATGTGATGCAAGAGGCACCATCCTTTTATATACGTAAAACCAGAAAACTTCAGCTTAATATTCTTTACTGAGGACGAACAGGTGAAGCAAACGGGTCAGGAAGGGAGAAACCAAGCAACTCCCACCCCTCCCCAAAAGGTGCTCCAGTTCTGCACTCCAGTCTCTCTGTGCAACATCACCTCTCTATCCCTCCTCTGTAGAGCCCAGTTTAAAGAAAGGAGGGAGCCACTAACAAAACCTGAAACATAAATGCGACGAAAATGCAATCTAAAGCCGGAAAGGTTTATTCTTCCAATCACACATATTAACTCTATTAGGAAAATGGCATCACTTTTTTTTTCCACCCCCCAAAAAAACCCACCCCGCAAAGATCATTAAAAGAGAGTTATAAAATAGCAAATATAGTGTTTATCTTATCTCAGATCAGTCCACATTACCAATAAGTTTAGCAGTTTCTGCACTACCACCTCCCCCCTCCCTCCCCCTCCTTCTCTTGCATCGGATTTTCACGTTTTCTCATTGTCGGTTGAGTTATAAAAGGCTTTTGCCCTTCGAAAGTTTTAAAAAATAAATAAATATTAACTCCTTGGTCCCTGCAAAGTCAAAACGGACTTCAGGGGAAAGGCGGTTCATACTTTTACCTTTAGCGAGAAAAGGGGGAGCATCCCGGATTTTTAGGGATTTTTTGCGATTTTTAAAAAATTTTTATTTGGTTATATGCCTGAGTTCTCCCTCCATTTTGGTTGTTTATGATACTGACAACAAGCTGTCCCTGCTCTGTGCAGATCTCCTGCTTTCATTTAGCACCCCCTCCCCCTACCCGCCCCTCGCAGCCACACATCCAGGGCTCACACCTCCCCGCAGACCCCGCACCCCGACCCCGACTCGCCCACCTGAGGAAAGGGCAAAAACAAATTCATTTCTCCAAAAAAGAAAAACCTCTTTTGAAAAAGGGGCAAAGTTACCCCAAGTCACTCAAAGTGCCCCCCAAATATTGCCGACTGCGGGTTTCCGCCAGGCCCTTTGGGAAGCGACCTTCCCCCGGGATGTTTTGGTGGAAAATGCGGAGAGTTTACTCTCAAAACTGAATTTATATTAATTTTTCCCTTATTTTTCGGGTCTCTAATGTCTTCCGCTCTCGCTGCTGCCGCTGCCGCTGTCACAATATTCACAGCACCAGAGAGGAGGAGGAGGAGGAGGAGGAAAACTTTTCAAACTTTCCAGACCCTGAATAAAGGGTTTTTTTTTTTTCCCACCGACCTCACCTTTGGGTCTCCAGCCGCATCGCCCCCTGCCCTGTCAGAAGCGACTTCGGGAGTCCTCACACCCCCGCTTAATTATTTTATTTTATTTTTTATTATTATTTTTCTCTCTGGGGTCCTGAGCTGGGGCTGAGAGTAGCACAAACTTTTCCTCCTCCTGCCGCCGCTGCTGCTCCTCTGCCCCCTCGGCTAGTCCCATAATTTAAATAACCCTGATATTTCTCCCGCTAAACGCCTCTCCGCCGCCCCGGACCCCGGGAGAACTCACCGCGGGGCTTTAACATCCTCCCTCCGGCCCGTCCGCCGCCTTTACACCGCCCGCGGAATTTCTAATAATTTTTTTCTCATATTTCGGGCTGGACGCGGCGGGCCTGGAAATTGTTTCCTTACGCCTCTTTCCAGCAGCCATTGTAGTGTATGCGCTGCCCCTGCAGCCCAACTTGCAGCTGCCGCTGCCGCCGCCGCCGCCGCCGCCGACGTCGCGCCCACCGCCGCCTCCCCCGGCCTGCTCGGCCGCCGCCCCCGCCTCCCGCCGGCCCGCCCCTGGTCCCCGCCCGCCGCTGTGCCCGCCCCCCGCGCGCGCTCCGCCCCGGGGCCGGCCACTAGGCGCCGCCGCCGCCAGGGACGGGCCCGTCGATTGGGTCGCGGCGCCGCCCGTCAAACCAAAGTGTTAAGAGGCGGGCCGCGGCGCGGGGGGGGCGGGGGAAAGGGGCGGGGCCGCACGCTCGGCCCCGCCCACTCCTCCCGCCTCGGCCCTCCTCCCGCCAGCTGGGGGCGGGGCGAGATCCGCCCGCCCCCGCCCGGCAGGGCCCGGCACGGCTGTCAGTCTGGCGGCGGCGCGCGTTGATTGGGCTGGCGGCCGCCGGGGAGCGGGGGCAGCACGTTGGGATGCGCGCTACTTAAGGTCCAGCTGCGTGAGCCATTGACGTGTTTGGAGCTGGAGACGGCCTGGGCGCTGGCGAAGCGGTCGTCCGAGGTGAGTGGTCCCCCGCCCCTCCTTCCGCGGTGGCTCCGGGGATGGGAAAAGAGAAGGGCGCACCTGGGCTTCCGCGGGCCGGAATCCTCTCTCCTCCGTCGTGAAGCCGCTGCCACCAGGCCCTGCCTCAGCGCAGGCCCTTTCCTGTCGCTCCTCCTTTGCGCGACCCGGTTTTATTCGGGCTGGAGACGAGGAAGGTGACCTTCGCCCTCCCTGGGCACCCCTAGCTCTTCCTTCACCCTGCTTCTCAGCCTTTGGGGCGTAATTGCCAGTCCCCACCCCCAATTTCCTGCGTTTTCTTCTCCCCCTGCCCCACTCGGCTCCATCGGAGGTCAGAGCAAGGTGTGTTCACCTGTGCCCGTCGTCCACCGTTAGACGGACAGCATCGCGGAAAGGCAGCAAGGCCGAGGACTCACATCTCCAGTTTCTCCATTCGATTGCCCGCCCCGCTGTACCATGCCAACTTCCTGACCCTGCCTTTCTGCACCCAGCAGTGGGTTAAGGGCTTTAGGTTCTCGCATAACGTGTTTCAGCTTCCTGCTAGTGGCATTTGAGTTTTATCAGAGCCACAGACCCTGCCTTGGCTCTGACCAGCATGTGGGCATGGACCTGTTCAGTAATGTTCTCTTCTTCCCTTTCAAAGCTAGTTGGAGAGTGGGGATGTGAACTGGATGGGAAGGAAATCAAGACATACTTTTTAAAGCAGTTTGCCTTTTGGAGAAGATTTTAGAGTTACTCAACTGTGCGGTGCTTTTGAGGCCCCTCCCTCAAATCTTTGGTTTTCTTTCTGGCTGTCCTTTGCAAACAGAGCTCTGTAATATTTGTTTAGTGCTTCAGAAAGTAAGCAGATAAGTCCTCTCTAGCAGAACACTCGATCTTCCCTTTAGACCCTCTCCTCACTGTAAATTGACATTTCCTCTTCATTTCCAGTTGATACGTGAGGATTCATGCAAAGAAGGTGACGTTTAGAAATCCAAACTTACATTGACTTGTATGTAGAATCCGGAAGGGAAAGGAAATGAAATCTGAATAAATTCATGGTCCAAACCTGATTTGTGTATATGTGATGTTACCTAGATGTTATTTTTAAAGGATTCTTAACTGACGATGATAAAATGCAGTGAAAGTGCACTTTCATGTAAGGTACGCACCAGAGTTTTGTCTATGTCTGATCATTGTTGAGATTATATATATAAAGAGTATGAACAGCTAAGCAGAGTTCTGTGTTCTTACATCATAGAATGAATGTAAAAAAGAAGGGTGTGAGTTCACTTAGTACCATCATCTCTTAGTAAGAAGTCAAGCCTGCAAAAGATTTCTGTTCAGGAGAGGAAGAAGCTTCTAGATATAATTGAATAGCACCTTGACTTTCTTTTTTACCTAGATGCTTCTGTTAGCTAGGTATATTCATGTAGTGTTCAATGGAAATCAGATTAGAGGATTCCTAAAAGTTAAAGGATCCTGAATTGACTAAACTTTTCTCCCATTCTTCTTTGCAAAGATTGATCTCTTTTAGCCTGGACATCCTGGTCTCTGAACTGGATGACTCTTGATTGCAAATACCACCACTTTTTAGGAGCTTATGGGGTTTGATTGATTTTCCTGAATGTACCTTATTTCTCTTAACATGACTGATAGTTTTTGACGGTGTCACCTAGGGAAAGAAAAGTAGAATCCACTTCATACAAAAATTCTGACCTTTCTCTAGTTATCCTGACTGATGCAGTCTCTTACTGGGTGGTGTTGGTGTAGGTCATACTGCATTATTGCTTGTTTCTCCTTCCATCTTTAGGTGGAAGATGGTTAAGCTAGAACAGGATTCGAGAGTACAAGTTAGCTCAGACCCTTAAACTTAGTGCAGAGCATTTAAAAATGTTTGTGGGTGGCTCATCAATAGCATACCGATATACTGAAATGAAAAAAATCACTTTGAAATAATTAACAGTTCGTTGATTATTGTTTTTCTTAATTTTCTCTTTTAGTTCCTTTCTGTGACATGTCTTCGAAGATAATAGGCATGCCAATTTCAGTTGAACTGCATTATTATAGAGAGCGATTGTCCTGGAATATAGTTGACATATATGAGTAATGTGTGAATCACAATACTTGACTTGGAATCACTAGGTGGCTCTTAGGGAACTGTGATCATCTTTAATCGGTAAAGACTTCTGCAGAGCTCCATGTGTAGGGCTTGAGTTGGAAGATTAATGGACCACAGTAGCATTCTGTGACTTCCTTTAACCAAGGGAAGTATCAGTTAAATAAAGATGCCACTGGAAGTAAAGTTTCATTTTTTCATTTTTAGCTTTTCAAAATGGCAACTAAGCAATAACTTTGTTTTTTAGCATATTGACCACCCTGGTGCTGGCTACAGAGTACACAGTTAAGTTTAGTAAACAAATGTTTTTGCTAATGTTGGGTTATACTAATTATTCCACACTTACTTTGTATGATGAGCAAATGTATAATAACGAAGTAATCATTAGAATGCATGCTGTATTGGGGGCACCTGGCTGGCTCAGTCAGTTAAGCATCTGACTTTTGATTTCTGCTCAGGTCATGATCTCAGGGTCCTGGGATCGAGCCTCATAGCAGGCTCCCCGCTCAGCAGGGAGTCTGCTTGTCTCCCTCTGCCTCTGCACTCCCCCTCCCCCACTTGCACGTGCTCGCTCTCAAATAAATACATAAATATATTTTTTAAAAAAGAATGCATGCTGTATTCTTAGGTTTTTTTTTTTTTTTTTTTACTATATTTAATAGCTTAACCTTTAGAAATAAAGATAAACTAAAACCGAACTATAACTGAACTATCTTCCTGGACATTATAATCAAATTTCAGTGGATGAATTTAAATATGGCCCTCATGCTGAGGCACCATGGCAATGCAAAGGAAAAACCCAACCAAATATTTATTCTCGTAAAACAGAGGACATATGAAGTTCCTTACTGGGATAATCATTATGACAAAATTAATTTTTCTTTTTTTTTTAAGATTTTGTTTTTTATTTATTTGACAGGGAGAGACACAGCGAGAGAGGGAACACAAGCTGGGGGAGTGGGAGAGGGAGAAGCAGGCTCCCCGTGGAGCAGGAAGCCCGACGTGGGGCTCGATCCCAGGACCCTGGGACCATGACCTGAGCCGAAGGCAGACACTTAACCGGCTGAGCCACCCAGGCGCCCCGACAAAATTAATTTTTCAAGTACTCATGGGTCTAATGAGATGTATTGATTTATTTTCTGTCATTCACTGTGTAACTCTTTTTTCCAACATCTGCCTGCAGTAAGAAAACTGTTAGGATGCCCATGGTAGCACGAAGGCTGAGAGATCCTGACATAAACCCTTGCTTGTTGGTAAGGTGGTTTGCTTTTAATTTTCATGACTATTAACTTGGTAAAACAGGCTTGTTCTGTTTTTGTGGGCATCTGTTTTCTATAGTTCTTGAATAAAGTTATTTCTATACAAAAAATATTCCTGGCCAGTGTATCTTTATTTCACTAAACATTTTTAGGTATTCATAATTTAGCTAACAAAGATCCATCCCTTTGAAGTTTCCATTTGTATAATGTGCAAGCATTTACTAACCACTGTAACACCAGACAGGGGTATGTAACACCAAGGAAAATCTGTAGTCCAAAAGTGTCAAGTTGCAAAGCATATTTTTCAACTGCCACTGAAATTTGTGTCTTAATAGCAATAATTTCATCCTGTCCTTGAGACAGCCTGCTGTGAATAAGGGGCTATAATAGAATTTGCCTATTTAAAGCCTAAAGCTTTCCACAAAGGTATCATGTACACAAAATGTTTTGTTGTAATAATAAGGTCTTATTGGCATTTATTTGGAATGACTAGCCATACTGACTTGTGGCCTTGTCACCCTGGAATAATGCAGTCATCAGACTGGTGCCATTCCCTGAACCTATATGCATTTTTCAAATACACACATTTGTTAAATATTTGGCATAGAAATTTAGCTTTGTTTCATATATTAGCTCTGTGTTGAAGCTTTATTAAGTCTCTTTATATAGACCATGTTTCTTAGATCTGTGAAGCAAATTACCTACCCCTTTAGTTAACGCTTTCCTTTAGATGACCTCTCAGAATCCTACTTTTCACTTTGAAGTTTGTTATCCAATCTACTTCCAGTCTAGACAGCTTAATTTTAATTCCCAAATGGCTCCTACCTTTCTTTGAACTTACAGCCCTGTGTTGCTCACTTAGGTTTTGAAGTGATATTAATGATATCTATTAAAACTGCATGCATAATAGTATATGTACTTGCGTAGTGGAGGGAATGATAGCCAAAAATACATTGAGATGAGTGGTGTTAATTTAAGTTGTCTTGATGTAGACCAGTTATTAGCGACTTACTTAGGATCTTGAAACCAGCTTAACATCAAACAGTCAGGTCCAAGTGAGAACTTCGAAAGGCAGGACAGCTGCACCCTGCGTCAGGAGACTGTTTTAATTATCGCTGTGCAGGAGTGATTTTTCAGCACCTTGCACCTTGCACCTTGCCTCAGCTTCTTTATTAAACGGTTACCAGGATAAATTATCTCAGTGCATGCTCGGGCTCAAGTTCCCGTGACCAGATATTCAGAAAACTGACCCAGACTATGAAAAGAAAGATGTCTGCTCTGAGCAAAATGAGTGCTGGGATGGTTGGAAAGGTAATTCAGCTTCTGTTCATTATATGCTCATTAAAATGAACAGAAAGGAACGAGTTCATATTATCTGCTTTGGGGGGAAGCGGCTTCAGAAGTTTAGGATCCCATTCCACCCCTTAAATGATGCCTTTCTTACATATTTAAGGAATCTGACGCTTCGACCAGCTGTATGGATGAAAATAACTACAACAGGGAACGGTGTTCCACTTACTTCTTGAAGTACAAAAACTGCCGGAAATTCTGGGTAAGCCTAGCTTGATTAGCTTTGTGTTAAAACTCCACTCTTTGGCTTGAAACTGAAGCCCAAAATTAGTGAGTACCCACAATCTTTTCTTAGTAATGACTGGGGACACTTTTTGACGCTTCTCTGTGTGCCTTGAAGGATCTTTGAGGGCTCTTACTGGCTGCCTCCTCCAGGCTGGAAGAATGCAGGTCTCATATAGGTGGGTCTTCCTATGGATATTTAAGAGCAGCCCTAAAACAATGACCTTGTTATAATTTTAGTTCACCTGGATATGAACAGAATGGAGAGCTTGCTCTGTCATAACACATTTTAGGCTTCCATTTCTGCCTTCTTTCCCACTGCCACCCATCGTTGTTAAAATGGTCCCATTTTTCTTGAGACGTTGGTATATGATTTCTGTTTCTGAGCACTGCATCCAGCCACTTCCTTCCCTCTTTTAAATTAACTGTTGCTTTCATGTGGCAGTTATTTAGTCGATCCTCTTGATGGACTGGACTCTTGTGTTCTTGTACTTAAACAGTATATATTCCCATCGCAATTACCATCAACATAGTCCTAGGGGAATGATCACTTCTATTTAATTGTTAGTTTGAAAAATATTGTCTGAAGTCCTAGAAGTAGTTTTTTGGTTCCTCTTTACACTTGGTTTTTAGAATTTCCTTTTTGAGGAAGTAGTAGCCAATAGCTGGCAAATGATTAGCATTTAATACGTGACTGATTTTGATTTCTTCTTTTTATACCTATGTGCAGAATTCTATCATGGTCCAGAGAAGACAGAATGGAGTGAAGCCATCTATGCCTACAGCAGCAGAAAGAGACGAGATCCTGGGGGCAATGGGAAAGATGCCTTACTGACTGTTTGCATTAAAATTGTTTATTTAATTTAGAAGCAGATCAATATTTTTAATGAAGATTACTGTAATCTTGTAGTCCCTTAACCCCTTTCAGGCCTTACCCAGACAGATCTTAAATTCCACAAGGGGAGATAAAGTTAAGTTAGCCTTGCGTCCTTTGTGTTTGCTCTCAGTGCCAGGATGATAGTCTGCCAGTGCTGGCTGTGCCATGCAGCTGAGTTCACACGACTTCCCAAAGGTAGGGGAGCATTAGGAAGGGTGATAGGAGGAATGGGACTTTTCACCTGGCGGTGGAAGGAAGGGGATATTTCCAAGGATGGGAAATGATGCGAGCAACAATATGATGGGAAGAAACCTCAAGCTAACTTTGGAGAAGTGGTCTGTAGAGTGTTCCACCCAGAGTTTAAGGTGGTTGGTGGAGTGGCAGAACAGAAACTGGGAAGGTAAGTTCCGGGTGAATGTATGGTGGGCCTCAAGTCTCAGGCTCAGTCTAAAGTAAGACCTCCAACCTCACTTCATTCCTTTATCTTTGCTTAAAAAAGGGTAGTACGTTGACTGGGCAGGGAAGCAGGGGTGCAGGAGGGTCGTCTTAAATAAATGGCCTGCAAAAGAACTGTTCTTTTCTTTCTTTCTTCCTTCCTTCCTTTCTTTTTTTTCTTTTCTTTTCTTTTCTTTTCTTTTTTCTTTTCCTTTTCTTTTCTTTTCTTTTCTTTCTGGAAAGGCTTTAGTTAAAGGATTCTGTGACTAAAATCCATATATAAAGCCATAGTATTCTTGAAGCACAGTAATGGGAAAAAAGGGTGATTCTCCTAAAATGGGGGATTTCTATTCTCAGGAAGAGATGGGCAAGGAAGGGTATGGAGGTTCACAGGGTGAACGCACTGGGATGGGACTAGAGCTCCACTTTATTTTATGCTATAAACACAAGAATATGCAGTATGCTGATTGGGGTGGGTTGTGTGGCAGCTCTCATACCCCCCACCTTTTTAAAATCCAGTTTATTTCATTTACAGAACAGTTTTAGAACCTATTTAATAAAATTAATACTAAAAAATCAATGAAAACAAATAGCTTTTGTCCCTTTTCTATCTGGTGCTGGATCAAGAGTATTATTTTAAAGGCTGCTGACAACAAACTATCCATCTCATTGGTCTTAGTCCAAAACCCAGGTCAGATGTTTTTAAGCCATATGACCCTGATTGTTAAATGTGATTCTATTGGAATAAAAGATGGATTGTTTGAGAAATTCCTTGATTTGTATTGATTGCTCTAAAAATGATGGATTAAAATAGGACCTGACAAGAAACTAACACTTGTGTGACCAGCATTTCAGTATTTTAAGCATGCTGTTGAAGGGTTTGGCATTTTACTGTCACCTCCTTAAATGTACCTACCAATATGAACATTTTTTCCGGGAGCTATTTGTCTTGGCCTAGCTCTTTTTTTAAAAAAATAACTTTATTGAGATACAATTCAGATACCATATAAATCATCCATTTAAAGTGTACAATACAGTGGTTTTTAGTATATTGACAAACTTGTGCAGCCGTCACCACAATTGATTTTAGAGCTCTTCACTCCGGAAAGAAACCATGAGCACACATTCATTTCCTTTTAACACCTCCCTTTCTCCTCAACCTCTCCAACATTTAGGCAACTATTTTCTGACTCTAGAATGGCCTATTCCGGTCATTTATATGGATGGAATCATACAATATGTGGTCTTTTGTGACTGGCTTCTTTCACTTGGACTAACGTTTTCAAGATTCATTCATGTTACGTGTATCAGTCCTTCATTCCTTTTGTTGCTGAATGACATTCCATTACATGGATCTACCACATTTTATGTATCCATTCATCAGTTGATGGGCATTTGGGTTGTTTCCACTTAGGGGCTATTACCGGTCATGCTGTTTCTTGAACATTTGTGTACAAGTTTTTGTGTGGTCATTCATTTGTTTTTGAATATATCCCTAGAAGTTGAATTGCTAGATCATATGGTAACTATGTTTAACCTTTGGGAGAACTGACAAACTACTTTCCAAAGTGGCAGCACTATTTTACCATGTGCGAGAGTTCCAGTTTCTCCACATTCTCATTAACACTTACTATCTGCCTTTGATTACAGTCATCCTAGTGAGTGTGAGCTGGTATCTCAATGTGGTTTGATTTGCATTTCCATGAAGTCCCTTATCAGATAGAGGTTTATGAATGTTTTCTTCCCTTCTGTGGGTTGTATTTTCACTTAATGGTGTCCTTTGAAACACAAATTTTTTAATTTTGATGAAGTCAAATTTATTTTTTCTTTTGTTGCTTTCAGTGACATCTAAGAAAGCATTGCTTAATTCAAGGTCAGAAAGACTTAAATCTATGTTTCTTCTAAGAGTTTTGCAGTTTTAGCTCTTATATTTAGGTCTTTGATCCTTTTTGAGTTCATTTTTGTATGTGGTATGAGGTAGGAATCCAACTTCATTTTTTTTTTTTTTTTTTTTTTTTGCATGTAGCTGTGCAGGTCCCAGCAGCTTTGGTTGAAAAGGCTATACTTTTCTCCTGTTGAATAGTTTGAACTGTCTTGGCATTCCTACTGCAAATCGATTGTATATGTCAAAGTTTATTTCTGGATTTTGAATTCTATTCCATTGATATATATGTCTGTATTTAGCCACACTGTCTTGATTATTGTAGCTTTGTAGTAATGGCTTAGCTCTTTGATGAATGGTTTCTGTAAGTGTGTTTTCTGTGAAGTACTCTTGGTGACCAACTAACTGGGGACTTTTGACCAGCAAATCTTTAATGTGTGTAATCATAATATGGCTCCACTTAGGCAAGGATGCTCAGTTCTAAATTTGTCTTCACTAATTCCCTAATTCCTTGTTTGCCTCTTTGCACATACCCTGATAACTTTAGCCTACTCTTCTTGTACCCAGATTGTGCAAGATCTTGTCGTGCACCACTTTGGAGGGACAGGGTCCCATCCCCACTGTCCAATTTGCCACTATTGTCGTTCTCTTTCCAAGACACTGCAGGAGAAGGGAAGCTAATTAACCTGATAAATTAATTGTATCAGGATGTGTGTTGGTGCAATGAGAAGATTTTCAGGCACGGCTTTGATACCAGCTATCAACTAACGAAATGTGTAGACGGCATTTTACTGTGTTCACATACAACCCTCAGAGGAAGCGTCTCATTGCAGATTCTCCATGCCGTGGGAGAGAGTGGCATGCTGGGGCTGTAGTATGTAGAAGCAATCCTTTTGAGAATCACTATCTACTTGAAAGCTCCCAGTGGAGACAAGCAATATCATTCCTGGTTATATCCCTAATACCTGATAAGCTTCTAGTGTGTGTAATTGACCAACAAATGTGTATGTATGGGGACTGCGGGGTGGCTTTTAAAATTGAACCCATTGAAAAACATGCTCAAACAACACGAAAGGGTATGCAATGTTCAAAGGTCCAAATAATGCTAAAGGGTCTACAGTGTAAATAAATCCACCCAGAAGCAGCCCATGTCAAAAAGTTTCCAAGGTTTTTATGCATATAAAGGATATCTGTATATTTGTTTTGTTTTCCACAAAAGGAACAGCATAGTGTATAAGCTGGAAGTACCTTGCTTTTTTCATTTAGTGATATAATTGGGAATAATTCTCCATCAGTGATTATAGATTTTCTCCATTTCTTTCAACGGCTGCAGTTTTCCCTTGTGTAGTTATGCTGTCATTGAACCAGCCTTCCACTGACGGGTTCACTGTTAGAGACAAGGCTGCAACAAGCATTGTTGTGTATGGCTCTTTGCCTGCTCTGTTTTCTTCTCTATAATACATTGCTAAGAATAGAATTTCTAGGTCAAAGGCTCCTGCATTTTAAATATTGTAGGTATTAGGGACATACCAGTTTCTACTTTAATGAACAAAGCCTGTGAGTGTTTCTTTCCTCACAGCCTCAGTCCCACTGGTACTTAATTTTTTTTTAATATTTATTTATTTATTTATTAGAGAGAGAGGCAGGGAGGGGCAGAGGGAGAGGGGGAGAGACTTAAGCAGACTCCACGCTGGTGGAGTGCGGAGCCCAGCACGGCGCTGGATCTCAAGACCCTCAGCCCAAACCAAGAGTCTGACTGTTAACAGACTGTGCCACCCATGTGCCCCCCCCAACTGGGTACTTTAAAACCCTTTCATCCTTAAAATTATTGAATGAAAAATGGAATGGGTGTACTTATTTCCTTTGCCCATTTTTTTTTTTTAGATTGTTGATGTGAATGATTTGGGGAATTCTTGATATTGTAAGGAAACTACCTCTTTGTCATTTGTATTCTGTATGTTTTGTCTCTTAAAATTTCTGTGCAGTGATTTACATTTTAATGTAATTAAATGGACCAATCTTTTTGTTTATGGTTTCTGGTGCTCAATAAATATTAAATGAATCCAAGTACAAGTACTGCTATTACAGTTCAATTCTGCTCAACAAATATTTGCCAAGTGTCTATAATGTGCAAAGTGCTAGGCTAAACACGGTGGAGGAGCATGCATGAATAAGTTACCATCTGGTCCTCAAAGAACTTCACTATGCTGTGTGGGAGAAGGAAGTGAGCACCACAGTAGGAGCAAGAGCAAACTTCTAAGAGGGTAAATACCTTAATAAACACGAAGGGACACATGCATGTGGGGTGTCGGGGATTAGTCTTTACTTACAGAGACCAGAGTACGTGAAGGAGGAAATGTAGATGGATAGAATAGGTTCACATATGAGGGGACTTTAATCCTAATTCTGTATCTAAAGGAAAGCTACGAACTGTTTTGTGATGGAGAGGGTCAAATCCAGTTTGTGTTTAGAAGAATAATTCAGGAGGTGCTGAGACAGGGTTTTACAATGATCCTGGTTTTACAATGAGATCACTGCAACTGTCTCAACTGTTTTCCTCCATAAATTCTTGCCTGACCCCAATTCCTTCACTATGCTGCAGCCTGGAGAGTCTTTCCAAAATGCAAATACAGTAATTCCCACCTAAAATTCCAAGACCTATTCATTGCCTCAGGACACATGTCCAAATTCCTTCCCTTGGTTCATAAGGTCCTCTAAGATCTGGGGACATTTGTGAAGGGCACAGGCTTGAGGAAGTGGGGAATGGTTCTGCT